TGGCCGTGGGCACCACGCTCTGCCTCCTGGCCCTGCTCGTGCTGCTGAAGCAGCTGCTGAGCTCTGCAATCCAGGACATGAACTGCATCCGCAGCCGGGATCAGATTGAGCTCCTGAAGAGCGGGGGCTTCTCGGACTGCCTGGTGCTTCTGCTCAGTGCCTTGGTGCTGGTGGTCTGCGGGGTGGTGCTCACCATCCTCTCCACCACGACCATGCAGCTCAGCCCCGCACGGCCGCTCACCAGCATGTTCACCAGCGGGGTTGTCCTCCTGACCACTGGCAGTGCCATCCTCCTCTGCCTGCTGCTCTACCTGTTCTGCACCTCCTGCCGTCAGGCTGCTCCTCGGAGCCTGGAGCCCGGCGAGATCCGGGTCTTCACCATCTCTGGCCGCCTCGCTGCAAACAGGCGGCTTCCTCCCACCTCCAGCATGGCAAACCTCATCTGACCCAGGACCCCCATGCGGGAGCCTCACTGGATGCGACCCATCAGCAGGGCTTGTGCTGGCCTTTCCCCACAGATGGGCGAGTGTTGTGGCGTGCCTTGCGCTTCTTTTGGAGGTGACTGGCATTTGCTTTGCCCCGGGCTGACGGCACAGCAGGGACTCAGAGTGCCTGGAGGGGCTCTGCGACCTGGCACATCCACGTTTCATCTCCACAAAGCCTCCTGTGACAGCTGCTGCCTGCCCGGCTGTGACTCCTGTCACAGAGTAAAGGTGAGCCTGTCCTGTACCCCAGCTGGGGACTTGCTCGGTTCCTGCAGCTCCTGGGCTGTGCCGTGCACTCTCCTGGCAGGAGAGGCTGTGACTGTGGATGGTGTAAAACCTCCCTGTGCTCCCTGCAGAGCTGCCAGCTCAGACCCCTGTCCTGGCTGGCACCAGTGCTTCGTGCCTCCGAGCCCACGGAGGTGGGCACACGCTGAGCACGCTGCGATGCCCTGTGTCTTGTGTCCCCTCCCGCCCTACCCCTGAGCAAAGCAGAGTCCCTAGAAGCTGATGAACGGCAGGAATAATCTGTGTGTCTGCAGGAGGGCAGCACAGGTGAAGGGAGCTTGGTGGGCGGTACAGCTGCAGGGGCAGCTCCCCAGAAAGCACCTGTGTGTCTGTGAAAGCAAGCCTGGGATTTGCGTGAGATTCTGTGTGCCAGAGCCCCCCACATGGCTGAACCGTATACGAAATGCTGTTTGTATTTGTAATGCCAGCATCTGTTCCAGTATTACCTTTCTGCAGCCCACCATCTTCTGTGTTTTATCACAGGGGTGATCAAAGGGTGCTGGTGTCAGGGTCTGGTCAGGTTATCAGTGCTGTGTCAGGGTGCTGTTGTCACACCAGTGTGCTCCAGCCACGCGAGCCATGAACAGCGAGGTGCAGTCCCTGGGGTGATGGGATGCCCAAAGCCAGGGTCTGGGGCTGCTCCTCAGCGAGAACTGCTGCCCTGCAGGGTGGTGCGAGGGGGGGCCACTGATGCCCCCTGACAGGAGCTTCCCAAGCACAGACATCCCTGCTGCCGAGGAGCTGCAGCTCATCCCGGCCCCTCCGTGCTCCCGTGCTGTTTCTGTCTCCCCAGGGCTGCAGCTGCTACAGGGCAGAAGAGTTGTTCTGCTGCCACTTGGGCCTTACCTGGAGCTTTTTTGGTGTTTTATCTCTACAAGGTGTCTGTCACTGAGGTGCCTTTTCCAGAGGCAGACTAACAACTCGCCCCCAGGAACTTTTCCTGTGACTTGAGGCTAATTTACCTGTCAAAATTCAAATTTCCTTCACAGACCCACAAACCATTTTGTTTCACTTTCCATACACACAGATCCTAACCTCCTAGCAAAGCTGCTCCTGCATAACCTTCTCTTCCTCTTCATCTTCCTCTCTGCTCCCAACTCCCCCTCACCTGAGCTGCTCTGACCCAGCTGCTATTTTTGATCATTATTTGCTAAGTTCCCTCTGTAATGGAACAAGACTGAACTATTATTTTTTGGTGCCTGGTAGCAAATTGATTTAGAAGACGACAGTAGTTCATTCCCTTAGTAACAGCACGACTGTCCGTGTCACACCTGGAGGCAGTGTCAGAGTTCAGCATCGGTGAACCCCCAGCAGGTATGTGCTGGACGATAAGGACTTCATCCCTTCGCAGCTGCAGACCACACCATCACTGATGCACTCAGATCACATGAAGGCAGTTCTGTATTCATCCACTCTCGCCCTGTTCTTGCTGGCTTTCCTTCCCCTGAAGCCTTTGATAATTTTCCCCAAAGTACAGGAACATAATTTTGTCTTTTCTTTTCTGGATCTCTGTTATTTCTACATTTTTCTCTGACATTTTCACATCATCCATAGATTCTATTAAACTGCTGTCTCCTCCTCTCTCTGCATCGCTTCCCTTAATCTGCCCAAGAGTTCAGAGAGTGTTACTAAGATCAGGTTCTTCAGTGCTAAATCCTCTGCAAATCAAAGAGCCGTCCTTCCCCT